CTCTATTGTTTCTTCTACAAACGAGAGTCACACCTGTTTTTTTCCTTTGCCTTATCCAGGGCACGGGGAGGACATTGCCCTTCCTGAGCCATGGACCTGTATTTTGCTTACTCCTCCCTCCTGGTGTCCTGCAGACATGTCAGAGCTGGTGGGTTTTCCATGGTGCTCATCAACCTGCAGCCAAACTCTGCACAAGTGATGGATTTATCTTCATAACATATCTTCTCCCCAGATTTAGGGATGGGAGGAAGTGGAAGAAATTGAGCACTGGATTTGCAGTTCAGGTTGAGATGAACATTGTATTTTTAAAGAATTCAATATTTGATATTCTGAAGGATAAATACAGGCATAAGACTCTCTGGCTTTAGATGCCACTGAGAGTTCTGCACCCACAAAGCAGAGTTCAAGGTGTAAAATTTGGCATCTTAATGATGATCACACATTTAGTACTGTTTCTATGTGACAAGACTAAGTTGAGTTTCCCAATGCCATATAGAACCTCTATAGAAGGGATAAATAGGAGGAAGTAGGGGTAAATAGGACATTTTAAGGGCTTCATTTACAGGGTTTTTTCAATAAGAACTTATTTTGGTTTGTTTTCCCAATACCTCCTAAACTTTGCAAAAAACAAAACAGGTTCCCTCTTGCCCCTTCATCACCCACCCTGATTCTTTCCCAGATTAAAACAAGTCTTGAGTGAATCAAGAGTCTCAGTGACCAAAAAGGAGTATGAGAACCTGTGGTCTAGGAGTCTGTGGACATTGGAAATAAAAGTGATTCTGGAGGGGAAAACAATGCATACTGAGGACTCAAAGACCATATTTTGGAGGTAACTTCAGTGTAGTTTTATTCTGGCCCCGAGGCCTGAGTTGCCATGAGTGTAGTAGGTGGAGGTCTGAGGAAACCATGCTTCATGAGCCAAGGAAAAATCTCCTCACTCCAAGGTGGAACTACCACCTTGGAGGAAATCACTTCAAAAAACACATTGCTAATTTGAACCTAAATGCAAGTCTAGATGCATTCTAAGTCAACTTGTGATTCAAAAACGCAGGGTAAAAATTAAAAGTTTGCAGATTGTGCTAGGTGCAACATTTCTATTTTCTTCAACCTCAAAGCACTGAGGCTGGTAATCTTAAAAATATCCCTTCAATATCACAACAGCTGTGTGCACTGTGTGTACCAATAAGGGAATGAACAGTAGAGCTAAAACATTAACTGAGATCCTGGTAATCTTAGAATATCCTGAGTTGGAGGGGGCCCACAAGAATCATTGAGTCCAACCCCTGGCTCTGCACAGGACAGCCCCAGGAGTCACTCCATGTGCCTTGAGGGCATTGCCCAAACACTCCTTGAGGGCATTGCCCAAACAATCCTGAACTCTCAGGGTTGGTGCTTTGACCACTTCCCCAGGGAGGCTGTTCCAGTGCCCAAACACCCTCTGAGTGAAGAACCTTTTCCTGATATCCAACCTAAACCTGCCTGACTCAGCTTCAGGCCATGCCCCCAGGTCGTGTCATTGGTCACCAGAGAGGAGACATCAGCTCCTGCCACTGCACATCCCCTTTGGGTGAGGAAGCTGTACACTGCTATGAGGCCTCTCCTCAGCCTCCTCGTCTGTAGGCTGGGTAAATCAAGGTGAGAAGGTTGAAAATAATGCAAAGGATGTCTTGATTCAAGTCTCATTGCGTTACTCATTAGGAATCTTTCCACTGAGTTCAATGGAGTTTTGCTTGGAGTAAAAAGTAACTGCAACAGACACAGCAGCACAGCAGCTATTACTCACTCAAATTCCCAAAAGGAATTTTGCCTGCAAAAAGACCACAAGATTTGACCCCACTAATGACTTCCATGGTGTTTTCTGCGCAATATAGATTACCAAAGTGGAGCCATGACTCAGAGGGTTTTTCTGCTCCAACCTGCCCATCATCAGCTCTTCCCTGCAATTCTCAAAGCAATGAAGAAAGGCAGAGTGGCCATTCACAAGGTGTTTGCCCAAGAACAACAGCTCTCAGCCTGTTCTGTAAACCAGATTTTAGTCATCAGAAGGAAGAAAAGAAGGAATAAAAGTCCACCCAAGCAAACAAAACAAAGCAAATGTAAAGCACAAGCACAAACACACAAACAAAACCCTTCAAGACATTAAAATTTGCTCAAAGAGAACACAATTTAAGAAAAAAAAATTAATTGAGAAATTGATAGAACACTAATGTTACTTTAGCATCTTATGTGGTAGTTGGGGGGATGTGATCTTAGGGATTCTGTTCATCCTCCTCCTGACATTGAAATATAAGATAATTGATGTAAGAAGTCTCTAGACAAAATGTATATATTTCCTAGAGAATATGCAGACAGAGTGTCTCCATTTGTGTCCTTTACAGGATGCTCATTCTCTGGGCTGGCCCCAATCCTGCTTCATTTCACTCAATGCCCCTAAGACCTGTGAAACAACATCAGAAGGAAACTGCAAGAAGGTATTTCAAAAACTTTTGAGGAAAAAAGACTTAGAGAGAGAAACTCAGGAGCCAGCTCCATCTAAAGCAAATGAAAAAAAAAAAAAAAACCCACAATAATTGCTGACTGCAAAATTTCGTCTTGCAAATCCTCCTCTATTTTTTGCCATTGCTGAGGTCCTGGAATCAATATTTTAGTCTAACTGCAATCTGTTGATGAGTGAAAGGAGGGAAAGGTTGTAGCATTGCGAATTAAAAAATAATAATCTCTCAAGCTTAATATCAGCAAAGATGATTATTTCCTCTGATTTGTCAGGCTAATTGAAAATAGCTTTATAGTTCACAGATGATTAATTAGGAGCCAACAAGATCTCCATTTGCATCTTGGTAATTCTTCACTCTGTTTTATTTCGACATTTATTCTTTATGCTTAAAATATTCATTGAGAAAGCAGAAAGGTGATTAACATAAGATTTTAAATGTGTACCATTTGTTCTGATTTTTTTTACACATTTTTGTCAACAGAGAAGAAAGGAGAGACTATACAACATTACAAAACGATTACTGCCTGTTCCACTTCCATCTGCCAAGTCCTCCTTTATGGCAGATATACTTTATCCAGGTTCATTTTGAAACAGGGGAGAAAGAGCCCAAATGAAGGTCAACCTTCTGTCCCTCCTCCCCCATTCCCAAATCACCAACTATCTGACCTCTGTATAATCATCCTGAAAGTTTTGGACTGTTTTATTCCTTGCATGCAACACCCTCCCTCGTGTGAACCATCCTGCAGCAGATTAGACCATGCCACTGTTACCCCTCCCTCCAGACAAAGTGGGTTCAAACAGCTGTGACAGACATGATGATATTTTTCCATCCACCTGGCACTGAAAGGCAGGGGTGCACATATTTCTGGGTGAAATATTTCACTCAGCATTAAAAATATAAAAATAATTTGCAGGTCACGTCTGTTGAGGTTTTTTACATTTTGGGGTTGTATTTTTGTTTGGGATTTTTCAAGCATTTTCTCACAGCCTTGGTAACCTCTGTCTTATCACACTGCACTTAAATCTCCAGCAAATGGAGTGGTTTGATAAGAAGTTTAACCCTTCGTTTGGAAGGTGGATTCCCAACCCTTGTAATAGCATAAAGAAGCTGGATGAGTAAACTCTAAAAACTAAAAGAAGGATGGATTCCTAAGGATTAAACCACCAGAAATGAAACAATGAGAGCCAAACTCTGCTTTATCAATAGTAATGTTAATTAAAATTGCACTGTTTCAAAGAGAGTTCTTACAGGACCGGACTGGCTAATGGACTTTGAATTTTTGTGAATTTTCCTCTCTCATCAAATCCAGCTTTTCATAACGGATTCTGCCCATTCCTCCAAGAGATGGACAGATCTGATCCATCCTGATTTCACATCAAGATCTCAGCTGTCACTTGTTTGATCTATCACTGAGTACCCCACGAGACAGAGCAGAATGTGCTTTTCCAGCTCCTGTCCAAAACCTTTTCTTTTTTCAAAAGCAGCCTGGATCATAAGGACCTTGCTGAACCTTTGCACTTATCCCAGCCCCAAATTGTCCTCAACACCAGTTTGGTCGTGGTTGCCCGAGACCCAAAGGGACCCATCCCACCTGGGAGCCCGAAACCACGCAGGGGCAGACGCTGGGCTGCGGTTCAAGGGACAGGGAGCACACACCGGACAGTGGGGTTACACTAACATGCAGTCCATTTATTTTTTGAGGGTTTTTTTTCCTTTGTTCTGTGATTTATCTTTTTTTTTATCAAGCCACTGCAAACATTGCTTTGGCTGTCAGCATGAGCGCAGAGACAGACATTCCCGTACCCGTGGTAACTATGTCATAAATACCATCCAAACAAATGTTAAGAAAAATTAATAAAGAAAGAAAAATATTCCTTTTCCCACCCCCAAGCACAAAACACTGTTAAGTCAACAGAATTTAATCTAGTTTATTCTCCAAAAAAAAAAAAAAAAAAAAAAAGAGCAGGTCTTATCACTAGCAGTAAATAAATTTGTACAACCATTCAGTCTGTATAATAGGATGAAATAAATCTACATCTTTCTTATTTTGGTGCGTTGAATTATACATACAAACAACAATTACAGGAACTTGTTCACAATGCGTATAGACCTGGAGAATGGCTATCTGAAACCCCCTTGTTGGCAATGTCCGCATGTTAACACTGATTGCCTGACACCATTGGTACCTCCTATGCAAAGGGCCCGTGGCCCAAAATGAATGATCTCCCTACAGGTTTTATTTATTTAGTTATTTAGTTAGTTAGTTAGTTAATGCATCATCAAAACCGTTCTAGCCAGCCCCCTCCCCCTCCCCGGAAACGAAAAAAAAAAAAAGAAACCAAAATAAAAACCAACCGAAAAAAAAATGAAATAAAAATAAAATAAAAGGAGAAGACATGACTGGCAGTTGGTCCATTTGTTCATAAGACCACGTTTCCTCTTGGTCTGCATTGTTTGTTTTTCTGGTTTTTAAATTGTCCTCCCATCTTCTTTTTTTTTTTTTTCTTTTCCTTTAAAAAAAATCTCTCGGAGTCCTTCATGCCTTTTTCTTTACAGCTCCTCAGATGCAATAAAGTCTTCCTCAAATGTACATATTTCTTACAATATAAGTTATATGCAATGTTCAGCGTTTTTTATTTTATTTTATTTTATTTTTTCACAGCACTAGAGATCCTGTCCAATAGGGAATGCAAGTTCTGAATGGCTTATTCACAAATGGTATCCAGATTCAGTGGGTAAGAATACATAGACGCCATAGTGAGTTCCTTTAAAAAGTGGCAAACATCACTTTTTTAAAACTTTTTTTTTACTCTTTTTTCTCTTTTTTTCTTTTTTTTTCCTTTTTTGTGCTTTTTGTAGTTTTTTTCTGCATTTTTAATTTTTTTTCTCTCTCTTACGCCTTCAAATAACCTTTTTTTTTTTTTTTTAATTTTTTTTTAATTCTTTTTTTTTTCCCCCTCTCCCATTTGATTCGGGACGTCAGACCCATAACCACACGCCTGCAAAAATGCAAGTAGTATATAAAGTAAATCTCATTTTGAGACTGTAAGCATTCAGCAGGGGAGTCTCTTGCTAACCCATGGCAGTGACCATACTGGAGGGGTGGTGAGGTCCGAAGGAGAGGCTGGATGGAGGATGCATCGGTGTCGGTGTGGTCAGCATGTGGCTGGAGTGACTGAAGGGTGAAATGTGGCTGATGGAGGACATGTGTCTGGAGAGGGCGGCGGGGTTAAAGGAGCTGCTCTTGGGAAAGTCTTCGAGGTTGTCATGGACCTTTTTGCACTTTTTGGATTTGCTAGACATCTTTCGGTTTCTGGTCTGAATTCCTTCTTTCTTCATAGTCAGGGGTCTGTTAATCTAAACAAAAATCAATTATTTTTTTTGTGCTTCCATCCCTTCTCCCCAGATCACCGTGGGATCTGTGTACCCCATGCCCCAGCCCAGTAGGACCAGCTGGTCACAGCCCCCCTCCTCCCCTGCACACACCATGTGCTACCCAGTCTCTCCACTTCCATCCCAAAATTCAGATCCCTCCAGGAAATCCCAAGGTCAGTTGAAATTTCTGAAGACAAGACGACAGAAAATTGCTGGCAGAGCCACACAGGAGCAAAACACACCCGAATAATTCACAGCAGCTGAAAAATTTCAACTATCTGCACATTAGGTAATTGCACTGTGTTTAGGTATGAAACCAATCATTACCTCCTGGAAATATTCCCCACAGACACTGTCTCACCCTGAGGCTTCCTGTCTGATCTAAAACCATTAGCAGCAAGAACTGCTGGGATTTCAGTGCTGTGAGGGGTCTCAGGCTTTCACAGCTCCATTAGGAAGCTGGGCAACTCTCCACAAAAGGAACGGGGTTTTTGTCTTATTTTTCTTCTTTCCAAAGATTTTGCTCTGATCATTCTTTCCGGTTTTCTTTAGCTAATCTGATTTTATTTCTAAAGGCTTCCAGGTTTTTTTAGGGAGGCTGAAACAGGTATCTCTGCTGACCAGCAAAGCGTTTTCTACATGTATACAAACGTATCTGTAGGGAAAATAAACATTAAATTCTCCTCCTGAAACTACACAGCAGAAATTATCATACATGCATTCATCAGGATTAGGAAATGGTAGCAAAAGATCTGTTGTACACCCTGTAAAAAACTCTTATTATTCTTATTACTTGAGGCTGTCTTGTTCAGGGCCAGGGGTTGGACTTTGATGATTCTAGTGCATCTCTTCCAACTCAGAGTATTCCATAATTTTGTCATTCTATACTGAACAGACAGCCAGCATCACAACATGCACTAGCACAGGTGACATGAAACTCCCACAAACCACACTTGGGAAGGGATTTATGCTTCCAATGTTCCTAAACAACCTTAAAAATCCAGGCTTGATAATGTAAATGGGTCTTGCTCTGGCTCCTCTGCAGGATTTCACCTATAGCAGAAGGCAGCAAATCACCCTGAGGCTGAACCATTTTTCATAATAAATGTGAGCACATGATGGTGCTGATGGACATTCTGCAAAAGGGAGAAAAAATTGATCCACAGTCCACCAGAATCTGTGAAGGACAATGACACGATGTCCCTGCAAAGATTCTGAGCAACTCTTTGTCTGTAAGACCTTAACTTAGCGCAAGGAACAAAGCATTCCCTTCTTCCAGATCACAGCAAAGTTTCACTTGTTGCTCCTCAGCCCCTTTCTGCTCCCTTTTCACAGCATGAGAATCATTCCTGGATTTTTCTCCCTACGGAGGCCAGGATAAAATAGCTCTCTGTTACATGTAAAGATGGAATTATGGGGAGAGGAAGGACCAGGCTCATCTCTTGTTTAGGCATCCCAGAGTTTGTCATTCCAGTCTGAATTTGTGACTCCAGACTCTTTTTACCAGCAGTGACAAAAGCCTTCACCTCATCTAAAAATGGGTGAATAAAAGGCGGATTCCTCTGCCTCTGGATAAAGGGAGATGAAGAGAGCAGCCCTGCTTGCCAACAGCTAAAGGTAGGAAGGAAGAATCTGCCCATGATCAGCCCAACAAGAGCCCTGCAGCAGAAGCAAGCAAAATTTAAAATGTCGTGGGTTCCAAACACATCATAACCCACTTCCCTGGCTTTCTGTCCTCACTGAAGGAATGAGGATGCACACACAAGGATGGTCCTTTGCTCCAGACTGAGATTGGAAAGTTTTGCCTGGCCTGTTTTAAGTTTTTAACAGGGATGTGTCGCCCAGGTTCAAAGCCAGGAAGAATTCCCAGGTGAGCCCCACCAGGCAGAAGCATCAGAGGAGGCCAGGAAGTGCCAATCCCTGACAAATCCAGCTCAGATTTGGGGAGGCACACACAGCTTCAAATGAGGATCTCTATCACAACACAAAGGCTCAGGGGCAGCCAGAACCAATTTCCAGTTGAAGCAGTAAAGCTGCAAGCTTGGGAGCTGGTTGTGGCCAAGTAACATCAGCCTGGTGGTGGGACTGGGGCTGTTCTATGCTTGGAAAAAGCATAGGCTCCTGACCCTTGCTTGGTTTCATGTCCCACAGGACACTGAACACTTCCCCAAAGCAACATCTCTCCTGCTTCATTCAATCTCTAAGAACAGGATGGCCCAGGCCATGATTTGACATGAAACTCGAGCATGGGAACACCAGCTCTGTGTCACCAGGATGGTGACAAAGCCACGGCCAGCCCACAGCTGGGGTCAGAGCTGCCATGCAAGCTGTGGGCTGGCCACATCATCCCAGAGTAAATGGCCTCACACTACGAGCAGGTAACTAAGCCAAGAGCCAAACAGATAAAGACTCAGATAAATGTCAGGAACCAGTAGAATCAAAGCAGCAAGCTGGAAATTTTTTCCAGTGACTTCAAAGACCAGTCACAGCAGGGTAAAAGAGGTCCCCAAAACATCAAAGCCAAGGACCCATCTCTGTTTCTGGGGTAGAGAAATGAAAAACCCGGAGGGAAGACCTTCTCCGTGAAAATTCATTCTGATAAAAATGACAAACACATGCTAAATTAAAATTAAACCAGCCCAACGCATGTATATGAAATTCATTAATTTCAGATGGAGCCAATTAATTATGGGCAGGAATTATGCTCTTTGTTTTATCATATGCAAAATACTGACTGCTCTGCTCTCGGGACACATAGGCCTGCTTTAAGGTATTGTGAAAGGGGCTTTTTCTGACTAATTTTACCAAAAATAATGACAAATCACTCTCTTCTACAGGCCCAGGCCAGCCTGCTGTACACCTCCAGAGAGCAAGGTGCTCTCCCACCCATCCCTGAAGTGTGCAAAGGCTCATCCCACTTCTAAGGACTAAAATAACAAGGATGAGAACCCCATATTCAACAGATGAAATCCAGGGGAAAGTCTTAACCATTATAGGTCTGGTCTTGCTCTGGCTGAAGACAATGGGATTTTGCCATTGACCTCAATAAGGTCCTGTCACTGAAGTGGATTTATCCTTCAGACATAGTCATTACAACGTTGGGTTAATCTTCCAGGCTGGCTGTATCTTAGAAAGCACTCTGGGATGCCACGGGATGAAAGGCACCGTATCAATGTGAAATATTAGTCATTGTTAATACTGGTGTTAATGGAGACGGCTCTTGTTGAAGTCAGTGGGAGGAATGCCAACAGCTTCACTAAATGCACCCCAAGACTATTATGGTTATTGCTTATATCCTACTGACAAATGGGTTTGCTTAAGCTGTGGGAATCAACAGTAAAACAAACTGATATAGCTCCATGAAAAAATTAACACCATGGAAAAAAATTCGGCTTTTCACTGCAATCGTTCCCAGTGTGGACATAAAATCTGGGTAAGTTTCAACTGCAGATCAATCCATTAAAACAGCCTAATGATGTTAAGGTCCCAGAAAATTTTATTAAACCCAAAGAAAAGAAAAAAAGGGGAGGGGGAGTGGATAAAACAGCAGACAGGAATTTGTTACAGCCTAGCCTGAAACAGGGTTAAGTCAACTTCCAAGCATCCAAAGACCTTCCACTGGCAATGGCACAACACCCATGCTGACAGCTGCTTGGGAAGGACATGCTACAATCAGCCCCTCTATTTCTGACCCCTCTCCTGATGGAAATCAGGAGATAATATACACACAGGGAGCAGGACCACACTTCTCACCACAGTCATAACTAAAGTACATACTTTACTAAATACTAAATAGTAAATACTTTAAGAATTTATTTTTTTAATTCATATCTGGATTTTCGTATCCTGGTTATTTTGCTGCACGCAGGAGCTCAGTCCTCTGGGGGTTTCTTTTAAGCAGGATCTATTAATGGCGTTGCTCATAAGGCAAGATACTACTTGACTTTGGTAAGTAGCTGTGCTGAGCTTTTAAGCAGCTGTTGGAGTTTTTAATGAATATGAAAATGGTTCCAATATGCTCAAGGCCTGCCCCATGTCACAAATTTCACAGCTGGATCGGCGTTTCCCTAAATACTGGATCTAGAGGTCAATTCAGGCCAACTAGGTTTGCAGTGTTAGTGCAAAAAATAAAAGGATAAGCTCTTGCAGGCATATTTCTGGAGAACCTCAGCACTGAGACACCATTCTAAACACTCCAGGAGGAGATTTCTCCAGTCAGATGTCTACAATGGAATCAGACACATCGTAACTCATCATCCTGCCATCTTTTGCAGGCATGGGGAGGACCTATTCAAGGGTAGAAGTCACCCCATTGAAACACAAGCATCCACCAGCACCAGCTGAGAAGAGCCTGTTTTCTTCAAAGGGCTTTGCTGGCTACAGGAGGAGCAGCTCCTTGAGATTTCCCAAACTAAATTATTTAAGTCCTACCACTGGTGGCTATAAGGCCAAAATGGAAACAGAGCACCACCATATATCCCCTGCTCAGTGAAGCTGGCTGACCTTGATCCCTTCTTGCCAAGGAAATAGCAAACAGAATATTTTCTCATGATATTCTGAGAGTTTTCATGCTGGGTCCAACCCAGTGTGTTTGCAGTGGTCACACTGAGAGTTTGATGACAAGCTTTACTTGCTACATGAGACTCAAAGCGTGCTGAGACACCTGCCCACTAAAAGGTAAACACAGTTTCCTTTTTTCCAAGAGAGATGCCTTCCCTGAAACAGGTGAAAAATTAGCCTGGTTGTTTGTTGGGGTTTTTTTCTACTTAATCCAAACTTGTTTACTCATCCTAAGAAACCAAACAGTTTGAAATAACAAATGGAAGGGACTGAGATACCACAAGGGTTGGATGCCCCATGAAACCCGATATGTCTTTGATGTGTTTCCATGGGTGGACATAAAGGCAAAACATAGCCCCAGATTTCCAAACCAAACACAGAGCAATCAACCACTAGTGGAAAAAAATATATATCAAAGCAGAGACATTGGAAGTCTTTTCCTTCTTTTGACATAATAATTATTCTAATGCCACAAGTGGAATGAGAGAAACAGGAGTAGCCTTAAGTCTCCTTTATTAGCAGTATTATTCAGTAGAAGACTTTTCAGGTCCCTTTAGCTCTTTGCCTGGGGCACATATCCCTGGTTCCTGCAAGCTGGCTTTGCATGGAGATATTAGATTAAATCTGCCAGCCATTTCATTTCATTTAATTTCTCCTTCCCTTCCATGACAGATGCTTTGAAATTCACATCACAGGTTGAGCAGACTCTGCAACCCGCTAACTAAATCAAGTCCTTTTTTGGTTTTGGACTCATTTGCATCAACCAGCACGAACACAGGGCCTAAATAAATCATCTCTGGGGACAGCACAAAGGCAGCCACAAACCCAAGAATGATCTAAATAGTTTCTGGCACATATTTCTTTTTTTCCAGAGTTTGTATTTGCTGGAGGAACCAAGCTACGCATAGGAGGGGTATCGGCTTGCAGGACAGTGTGTTGTCTTTTCCAACTCTGTGAGCCCAATCAGCAGCAGATAATGTCTCTCTGTGTTGATCCACCCCTCCTTTCTTGGCTCAGGCAAGGAAAAGCTCTAACATTACCCATGGACAGCCTTGTTTTATACCTCCTCAAGTTGGATAGGCTACATTTGAAAGGCTGACGACTCATCGCTCCAAACCCCGAGGTCTCCAAAGGGATAACAGAAGTCTCGGCACCACCCGAGACTGGAAATCCTCAAGTTAAGGAAGCGTTTGGATCATTGAGCACCAAAGATGAGTCCCCATTATTGAGTATTACAGTCACACTTACATTGTGCAGCTTGTAGTAGAGCCCACAGGCATTACAGACGGGATCGCCGTTGGCATTTCTCCTCCACAGGGTGGTAGTGGTGGTCTGACAGTTTGCACAGGACGTGCCCGCCCTCCTGGCTGCAGACTGTGGGAAGGAGGGAAAGAGAAGGAGAGGAAGAGAAAAACACCAGTGTCAAAAAAAAAAAAAAAAAAAAAATGCAATCTGCAAAATTTCTGAGAAAGAAAACATCAACCCTGCAAGACTGACGCACATCAGCAGAGGCCTCCAGAAACTGACTTGTGAGAACAAATAATAATTGTGAAAAAAAATCCCCAAGGTACTTTAATCCCAAATTATATGTGAACTGAATCAGGTGCCAAAGGGCATCCTAAAAGTGAGTGCTAAACCTCTGATAGAACTCATCAAAATTAGCAGCGCTGGCACAGCCCATTCCAGAGGGGAAAATGTTATTTAAATGCCAACATGTCTTTCCATCTTAATTCTCCCAGACCCCCCAGGGGTCTAATTCTGCAGTCAGGGCCTGAACTGACAATTGCTGGAGTCGAGGGCGTGAGTCACTCCGGCTCCAGCGAGCGCGGGTGAGACCAGGGTGGGCAGCTGCTCGCCAGGTCCGACCGCAAGCGCAGCCCGGTCCCGTAAACTCAGCTCAGCTTCAAAGGAGACAGGCTCCAGATCGGAAATAACACTGTGGCAAAGAGCAAGAATCCCAACTTTTTAATTACACCCTTTTCTCAGCCCAAACCTTCATGTTTATTTAAGGATTGGTAACAAGCCTGAAAGAAGAATTTACCATTTCATAAAGGGGTAGGAACAAGAAAAAAAATCTACGTGGCAAAGTGTATACAGAAGCTTTTTTTGTTAGCTGTGATAATGACTTAGCAAAGTCAAATTTAGTAAAGTTGCTTTCTTTCACATGCATAAATTCGTACTTAGCATTTAAAAACTGTAACTCTAGCAAACAAATTGTCCTTCTGCCTCTGAAGGAGGAACAGGAGCTTTCAGACTGCTGTGTGAGCGCGTATGCATGCTTGCGTGTGTGCAAATGCCTACAGCTCCTAAAAAAAAAGACCTTTAGATCCCCATCCTATCTATTCTTCATCAATATGACATGGTCCCAGAGCTCTGATTTCATCCCGATGCGTTGCTTTCAATGGAACTGCTCATGTGCTTAAAGTTAAAACATGTGCTTAAGCGATTTGCCAGATCATAGCAATGCTTGGCACCTTGCAGAACTGAGCCTTTAATGCTCTCTTTTGTGCTCTTACTGTTTCAAATTTACCCCTCACCCCACACAGCCGCACACTGTAGCACATCCAACATTGAAAAAAAAAAAAGAAAGAAAGAAAATACCGCATCTTTGGATACCGTACAACAAACCCAAAATGCAAACATGGACACTGGCACAGCCTTAGCGTTAATACCAACTCTTGTTAGGTCATGTTGCAATTTTAATCATAATTGAATGCGGCGTAGGTGGAGAGAGGACGGGTTGGTTTTGCTTTAGATAGGGGAGGATTTTCTTTTTCTTTTAATTAGACAAAAAGGACTGTCTAAAAAATAAATAAGACAATGCCCATGAGCACTAGGAAGCATCACAGAGTGGCTGATCTGACAGCGAGTGGCTCTCTCAGGCTGCCCATAGGGACAGTTCCATTTTGCCTGACCATAAACCACTGCGAACCAAGCCAGTCCCAAGGAGGCCTTTAGCTAACTTCTCTGTGCTGGTGACCAGCAGGAGCTGGGGACTCGGAAAAATCCCAGGGCCAGCAGAGAAGACGAAGCATCCCACCACGAAGAGCAGAGCAACAAACTGATGCACGCACACCTCCTGACCACACCATGGACCCAAACTGGGCTCCCTTCAAAATCACCAGGATAATGAAATAATGAGTCTGTTCCAAAGGCAGCAAGGAGACAACAGCTTGCAAAGCCAGGTTCTCGCTAAAGAGCTGGAGAAGAGTCTGCAGCTCTCTGCCCCCCAACTCCTGACACTCGGCGCCCATGGCTTGGAGGGGCACGAGGCTGGATTGAGTCTCTTGGTGGCAGCTTTGCTTTTATCAGGCCCAAAAATCAAGCCTAAGGAAATTTCTAAAAACCAGTGATATTTGGCTCAGCCCACACAGGGGAAACATCCCCTTTGAAGATATTTGGGGTTTCTACACAGCGCTCGCCGTAATTTCTCTTACAGCAAGCGCGTTCAAAAGACACGCCTGGTCACCACCTCGCTGCCTTCAAACAAATTCTGACATTAAATAAGCAAATAAATCACAACGTCTACCGTCCTCTCTTAAACTATTTCCAACTACTGTGTTTCACTTGCAAAAATTCAGCATCATTAGCTGAGTATTTTAAGCTCTTTCGGTCCCAGGGTACACCTTTTATGCTGTACCAACTTCTACCGGAGACAGAGGCAGCGGGCAGGAAACAATGAATAATAACGCTATTGTAAAGCTCCAGCAATGGCATCCACTGACGCTAATCAACGACTCGGGGCCTGGCCATGGCAGTAATGGGATGACTAATTAGCTGCCCCATATCATCTATAGGACCACAGCTGCCACTGAGCAAAGACACAACTTCAGAAGCGCTAGCAGTGATGAAAAGGTGAAATTGAGGAGGTTGGAGGAACCAAGTACTAATAAAGATGCTTAATTAAGGGGCATTTTCAATGTCTGCATTTACCCACAAAGCTCCAAGCATCATTTTCCTAAAATAATATTGCATGTGCATGGGCCTGCTGAGAAATTGGCTATAATCCTTCCAAAACCAGCTTGGCTTGACTTGGAAACGGAGAGCTCTGCATCTGCATGGGCAGGGAATGGGAGAAAAAACTAAAGAAAGATTTTCATCTCAGCAGTGAAGGGGCTGCCACTGCCTGTGACAAGAACACGAATGTCCTCCAGGAGGGCTGAAGATTTTTTAGGCAGCGATGGTGTGGTACCACCTGCCTGTTCTTGACTCCCCTGCCAACATCTCCAGGTCTTTCTCTCTCGAGATGAAGCAGAGCTGTCTGAGCCCCCTCGGCCAGCAAGACTTCATCCCTGTCACCTAAAGGACACCCTCACAAAGACACCCATTGAATTTAACAAGGCTTGGGCTGTGTTCTCAGCATCTAAGAATTTCTTTGCCTCCTCTCTCCCACCCATCAAATCCTATCATTAGGTTCAGCGCAGCTGTGATCAGAGCCTATGAAACCAGCCCGAGGTCAGGCAGGAAACTTGTGGCACAGGGAAGGAGCTGGATCCCCACCCCGAGCCTCCATCCCCAGCCTTGCCCAGCCCGCCTGCCTTTACAGCAGGAGAGATCCAGTCAAGCCACAGCTACATGCACGTCCACATCCAGGCACAGAAAATGCAAATGCAAGTCCAGCTCTGGTGCCTTCTGACTAAATTTTTTTCCAGAGGTCAGCAAGGGAAATAAATATAGGTGCAAACAGCATTAGGGATGTTTGTCGTTTTTTTTTTTCTTTTTCCCAGGCAGTGCTGGGGGGTGGAGGATGGTGGGGTGAGGGAAGTAGAAAAATCAAATTTCACATTTAGCAAAGGCCACATTTAAAGAAGGGGAACTTTTTGTAACTTTAACTAAAATGCCCAAAGATTGGAGCGATAACGCAAGACAAGGTCTCTCTTTACTTCTTCTCTTTCTTCCTCTTTTTTTTTTTCCCTCAAGAATGACCTTTTACTATGTATTTATTTATATAGTTCATTTTACATGTGCCGGGCTCAGGGTGACTCGGGACATTCTTTCGTGGTTCCATCAGACACTTTTTGAAAGCTCTCCCCCTCTTTCCAGCCGCTTTCCTATTCTGCCTCCCCCTCTGCTTGTTTGGATACGCTCAAGCTCCTGTGTGTTTGGACTGGGGAAACGGAGCTGTTGTTTAGGAGTTATCTCCAGGGCTCAGATATCCGGCAGCTTTTTCCTAGGAAGTTAACTTTACACATAGAGAGAGAACGAGGAAAAAAAAAAAATAAAGAAAACGAGGGCTGTGTGTTTAAGACAGAAGGGCCAGGGGGGAGGAGGAGAAGAGAACAAGAGAGCTGCCCAAAAAAATCAAAATTCCAGCCTGTACTTCCCTCCCTAGAAAGCTTTTCCTCTTTTCTAACAAGGCTGTGAAAGATGAGAAAGACAAACATTTTCCTATACGGGAAAAGCCCATATAGGAGGGCACAGAGAGGTTTCACACGCAGGAAGTTTGGCAGGGTAGAGGAGCAAACCCACACCTTCCCCAAAACTCACACTGCCAGACAGAGCTATTGCTGGTGCCCCTCACAGCATAGCCCTTCCTGGGAATGTGCCCTGCAAATGCTTCCCAGAGCCAGAGGGGACAAAGCTGGTACAATTTTATGGGTGCCTCAGAGGTGAGGAAGCTGATCCCGACCTAAGAGCTGTGAGCACCTTCAAGAGGAACTCAAATGAACCAGCCCTGTCCTGCCTGTGGGCTCTGGCCATGCCGGGCACAAGCCTCACCAAACTGGCCAGATCCATCCATCAGCTCAGAAATTCCAGAGAGGAAAGGGCCACTTTTCCTCCATATTTTGAGCAGCCCTCAGGAGCCTTTCCACATCTTTAATCCTGACAAAACCAAACGTGCCTCGATTCGAAACATTCAATAACTTCCCAAGCAGGGACCATAATTTTTTCCCCCACTTGATATATTTTTTCCCCTTGTGGTCTGCCTGATTATTTGCCAAATACACTTTAACACATTTATTAGCCATGCCCACAGCTTCCAGACCTTTTTGTGGCTTCCAGGGAAATGCATGAACAGATCGCTGGGGATGCTGTAACGTATTGCCTGTGCTTAGAACAGTCACCAGTTTTGTAACTATTATTTCAAACAGTTACCCACACATTTCATCTTCCTCCAGCTTCTGTAGCATGGGCATACTCTTGGCTTTGCACGCTCGTGATCCTCTCTGCCTTGTGGCCTTGTGACACCATTTGAGACCCAGATGGCACAGACATAAATGACCACACCAGGTACCACTGGCACCAGGACCTGATGGTTCCAGCTCTTTGCAGGACCAGTGACACCCCAGTGACACCTGGGATCCATGACACCACCAGCCAAGGGGGATAGAGACACATTAAAGAGTGGAGGGCAGAAGTTTGGAGAGCACAGGAGAAATCCTGTATTCCTGATAATCTCTTTGGCCACTAGGAAATTATTGTCCTCTCCTTAGGCCCTGGAAAATGTCACTGTCCTCGGGTCACCATTCAGAAGCACCGTGTGGAGTTGGAAACTCCCTTCTCATTTGCAAGAAGCCCTGGATCTTGACTTTTAAGCCTGTTTTGCAGTTTGCAAGAGGATCAGACAATGGAGGCCCACAGCATCTGGGACCATCTCCCCAAGCATCCCTCCCTCCCAGCCCTCGGACACAGTGGGACCAGTGGGAGCTGGCTGAGGTTCCCTGTCCATCCTGAGCTGCAGATAGGAAGCAAAAGCTGCAGAAGAAGAAGACAGAATAAAATAGAAGGAGACTCACCAGTCTTCTCTTGGGCTTGATCAGGGGCCGGTTCTGCCCGTTCATTTTGTGGTAGAGTCCACAGGCGTTACACAAATAGTGCCCAGTGCCGTCTCTTCTCCACAGAGGGGTTGAGGTAGCCCCACAATTTACACACTCCCTGCCTTCTGGAAACAAGAGAGCACACGGTTCACTTAGGGAAAGCAGAGATAAAAGGGGCTGGGGAAAGCCCCCCCTCACCAAAAAACCCCACAACCTCCCCAGAGACCCAGCCATGCCAGACCCTGCCAGTGCCCCCCAAGCTCAGGATTTCCAAAAAAGGGTCCAAAGCCACGAGTGAAGGATGTCCCTGGCACAGTCTGGTGGGCTCTGATCCTGCTCTCCTCCCCAGCACTGCTCCACAGGCAGCATCAGGCCTGTGTCCCAGCAGCAAGGAAGAGGGATGGTGACAATGACAACCCTAATGCCATGGTGGCTCAAGAGACTCCCCAAAGAAGCTCTCACTCCTCCCACAGGTCTCTTTGGGGAAGTGGGGGGAGCTGACAATTTCCCCTGACCTTTGGATTAAGGGCTCCTACAACTCTGGAGACCCCATGTTTCCATAGGCACCAGAAAAACCTTGGCAGGCTTTGCAAGAAGCTTCCAGCCCTCTACACCCAAAATGTTGGATACGGAATTTAAGTCCATGACCCCCTTTCTGATGTGTATGAGGACCCCAGTGTCACTCCTTGAGCATTCTTCCAGTTCCCAGGGGCGTTCATGAGCCTGGAGGGCTCTTCCCCTGGCCTCAGGTCAAGCCACATCAAGGATCCCCAAAATAATCACAGACAATCCCCAAAACATCTCCCCAGCTCCAGCCAATACATAACCACTCCGACAATATCTGCTATTGATTAATTCGAAATTAAGCCTCCACCACCCAAAACTTTCAGAAACCCCTCTGGTTTCCCCACCACATCTGCAGCCTGATGGTCCATCCTGGCTATCTGGGATAGCAAACAGCCCCAAGCCTGCTTTGTAAGTTCTTTCACTCCTTCTCCTTCTTTTTGGGCACCTCTTTATCCTCTCCTTAGCTACTGCAGCGGGAGCTCTCCCCCAGCCCACCAGTTCCCAGCTTGGAGGAGGGAGCTGGGAGGGTGCAGACCCTGCCTCTCAGCTACTTTCAGAGGGTTGAGTGTTTTTTTGTTGCCTCTTTGGTTTAGTGGGCAAAGTTTTTCGGTACCTAACATCAGCTGTGGCCCACCTGAAAGCAGCGGGGCAGAGCAGAGCAGAGCCGAGCCAGCTCAGCACAGAGCCGGCTCCCCGCTGCCCCAGCCCGTGCTGCCTTCGAGCAAGAGGCATCCGTGCCCTAACCACAAACTGCAACCGTTTTTCCAGAGCCTTCTCACTGAACCCCTCTTCTCTCACACCTCCCCAGCAACTACAACAAAAAAAAAAATACATTTGCACCCGTTTCTCCCTCTTTTATCCTGCAGAATCACCCCCTTCCTCCTTTTTCTCCAGCTCTAACCCTCTTTGTCTGAGAGGTCCTAGCTTGCTAAGATCGACTTCTAAAGGTGAAAAAAAAAAAAAAAAAAAAAAAGAGAGAAAGAGAAAAAAAAAATAGGTGTTGCTGCTGGGGTTGGTTTATCACGAACCGCAGATGTCTTTCTAGAAGGTAAAGTAACAGAAAGTGGCAAAAGGAAAACAAGAGGGGAGGGTGGAGGGGGGCCGAGACGGTTTGAAAATACCGCGCAGCCGGTGGGTGCCCCGGCCGGAGCTGCGGCTCGGCGGGCGCCGGGGCGGCCGGGGGATGCTCAGCACCGCCCGGGGCGACAATAAACCGGTCCCTACCCCGGACACAGCGCCCGGTCCGTACTGGGGCCAGGCGGGGAGCCGGTCCCGTTAATACCCAGGTCGTTTTGTTCCCCTCCGGTTAAACGGGGCAGCCGCTCCCGGGCTGTTTGAGTCTCTGTCCCTCTCTTTTGTTTCACCCCATCTCTCTCTCTCTCTCCTGCTTTCATGTACAAAACATACAGGTCTGGGTTTTTTTGTCACTCTAACCGCATCCGGACTCTATTAAAGTTCCTGGCGCTGGATAAACAATGCAACTGTCGCGTGCAGCAGTCTGAAAATAATTGGATTAGCTCAAACATATCAGCTAAATAGAGACAGTCCCTGCTCAGACAGACAGAGTAAATGTCACCCTGGAAAAACCCTGAAAACTGATCTCATTCATGCCAGGCAACCCCGCAGCAGCCTCCTCGGAAAAACAAAATAGAGAAGAAAAAAAAAAAAATTAAAGGGGGGAAAAGAGTTTTGACTAATCGCCCTTTCCTCTACACACAAACACACTCCCCTCGGCTCACTCCCAGCCCTCCGTGCACACAAACCCGGTCCAAGCCCGGCGTGTTCAGCCGTCGGGAGCCACAGCCGCGCAGCCCCTCGCACCCCATTCCGCGGGTGCGCACAGAGCTGGGGCCCTCCGCTTCCCCCGGGAAAGGCGGCCGGGGGGACACTTTTGGGGACTCTCCTTGTGGGTGATCCAAACCCCCTGGCACGGAGCTGGCTGGGGCTGGGGGCTGCGTGGGCGAACTCTCCGCAGCGCCCCGGGGAAAACCCTCCCCGCATCCCCGGGCGCCGCTTGGGAAGAGGCCCTGGGAAGAGCGAGGCGGAGGGCGGGCGGGGGAAGTTGGCCGGGATTTAGCACCATTATTAAAATACAGAGAGATCACCAATGCTGCGGTTCCCTCGGTTTCGCTTCCTCCCCGGGCGCCGCAGCTGAGCGCACCGTGGGCGCTGGAGGGGCCGGGTCGCCCCCGGGACTGGAGCCCCGCGGCACCGGGTGGGTGCTTTGGGTTCCTGGGCCTGGTTCTATCCCCAGCCAGGGCTGGACAAGGGGGAATTTTGTTATAAACCTAGCAGAGCAATCTGTGAGGAAGGTGAAGTGTCGTGTGCGTCCCCCACGAGGCTTCAGCCCCTGCTGCTCATCACACGGATGCTGGAGCACATGTCCCTGCGTGCGGGGCTCAGCCCCATCCCTTTGCCCCCCACTTTTCCGCCCCTCAGCTTCCTCTCCCGAGCAACGGGGATGAAGAAGCCAAAAGCCCTACCTGTGCTTGACCGTGCTTTTGGTCGCGATTTACACCCAAAGCCGGTTGGCGATCCTCCTAAGAGGCTACTGGGGGGAAAAAGTCCAGAGCCATATTCTGGGACATACGGTGGGTAGGTAGTGATGGGGTGATGAGCGGAGGAGGTGGCTCCTCCTAAAGAGGCCATGCTGCTCCGAGAGTGAGAGGACTCCAGCTTCATGGTGTCGGCCAGGGACACCTGGTATTTGATGCATTCCTTCTCGTCCTGCCGGGTGGAGCCGGTGGAGCCGGGGGTGGAGATGGACGGATCCGGGGACACATCTTTAGGAGGGGTCGGCGGGAAGGTGAAAAGGTGCGGGCTGGAGTGGCCGGCGGATAAAGTGGAAGAGGAGGCGGGTGGGTAGACGGAAAGGGGTCCCGGTGAGCTGTGATGGATGGAAGTCTTGGAGAAGGGGCTGAGGTTCCAGGGGGAAGCGCTGTGGTGGCTGCTCAGCGCCTTGCTCCCGTCCAGCCAGGGCAGCGAGCCGTGCAGCAGCGGGGGACGGCACACCTGGCTCCCTGCTCGGAGAAAACACGGAGACACGTCGGTCAAATCCCTCTGCCACCCTGGCAAAGCCCCCCGTGGGGGTCCCGGGACGTGCTTCCCCCACCACCACCCCTCGTCCTTCCCAAACAGATCAGCATTGGGGGGAACAAGGAAAATTACATCTGATGAGAAACCCCGTTCATTAAAAATTAAATTTTAAAAGCTACAAGAGCACGGGGTGGCAGCTCTGGTCCTGTTGAGGAATGAGTTTTGGGGTCGGGACCCTTCAAGCAGGATGCCAGCCCTGTGACACGGGATTTGGTGAGCTCTGCTTCACTCTCTCCGTTTTCCAGGCAATCCCACGAAGACTTTGAAGCAAAGATCCTGCGTGAAATCGCCAAGTCCCGACTTGAAAATTTTTTTTTTTTCCTTAGCTGGAAAATGATTTCCCGAACAGAGCCGTGAGCTATAAACCCTGGGAATTCTCTGGTCAAACGAAGAAGACAGAAAATGCCCACAGACATGACAATAACCTTTGCAACAGGGTTGATAAACTTCGCAAAACACTCAGTTTGTCTTTTCTTCTTCCATGAGACTGCACGAAATGTTAGCTGGCTTTTTTGCGATGATATGGCACACACAGTGGGTACCAACTACCTCAAAAGAAATGCTCCATACCCTTTTTGTGACAAGGGACACTTCACTTGCCTTTTAAAAGACAGACCTGGACTTTGTGGGGGGAAAAAAATCCACTAGATTTCTGCAGTCAAATCTTTTTCCCTTTGGTTATAAATGTTCCTAATGGCTTGTACCTGATATTTTAAATTATTTTCGGCCCTTCCTAAACAAATAGAAGAATACATCCTAAGAGAATTAAATCTATCCAAATCCACAGCAACTTGGGTGAATGGCTGTAAGACGGAAAACACAGTTATTCAATTGGAAGGGAGCAAGTTTGTGTCTGATGATAAAGCCCTGGAAAGTCTCTGACACCTAGAGATCTTTAACCTCTGTAGGCATTGTGATATGTGTATAGAGATTGCTAAACATACAGAAGGAGAGATGCAAACACCGATGTATAGAGCCACAGGTAGTTACAGGGTGGACACATTTGTTTGCATGGGGAGCTCCTGTGTGTCTAGAAAAGCTCCAGACTGGTTTTCACCATACCAGGCACTCGTGAACAATACTGAAAGTCGCTGCTCAAAAGGAAGGGAAGGTGGGTTATACGAATAGAAAGGGTCAAGATTCATTATCTTCTCCAGGAAGTAGCATAGTAAATAATATTCAGGCTAGATCAGAGAGACCGCATTTCCACTTTCTGCTGATATATTGGGGAAAAAATGAAAAGGGAAGAAAAGAAAGAAAGGACAAAGGCTGCTGATCCTTAAAAATAATTGTTTTAAAGGGACTAATAGCAGAACAATGCAGCTACTGAGCGGAGCCTAATGCAGGCTCGCACTCAACAAGTTGCTGAAGGCTGGGAGCAGCCTCCTGAACCCGCTCGGCTCCATCTCCACTCCACTCATCCCATTTTCTCCATGATTTTGGGGTTATTTCCTCTGTAAACCTCGGGGATTTAGATTTTGCCACGACAGAGATCACTGTCCGGCTTCACAAACCACGCTCTGTTCTTTTCCCTCCTTTTTTTTTCTTTTTTTGTATTTCTTTCCTTATTTTTTAAACCATCCAGGTAAACTCCAGCTATAAATACTGAACCTCTCCACTTCTTCATAAAAGATGGCACCAAAGTGTTCATCCCTCCGTGGAGCTGGGCCCCATCGGCCCCAGGTATTTCACCTCCTTTCTGAGAGCTGTGACCCAGGAACAAGATTCACTTTGTGGATTCACCTTCCTGCGGGACCCTCAGGACAACACACCAGGTCTGCTACCTAAATACACCACGGGCTGTATTTTTAAAGTTTCTTTCTTATTTTAAACCCACGCCATGGTGCTGCCCTGGGTATGTGTGCAAAACTTTCGTCCCAAGCCTAACAAGCTCACCAAGTGCGAATTAAATAGCCCAAGCGTGAGGACAGCGGGGTCATTTTCACACCCCTGCTCTCCAGCTTGCTTTGCTTCCCCAGAGCAGCTTAATCGTGCAAAAACCAAACACAGTATGAAAACACTAACTGTTAGCCTAATTAAAGAGAGGGGGGAGAAACCAAAGCGAAAGAGAAGGGAGCAAGAGGAGGAAGTCAAGAGGAAGATGAAAAAGAAAGAAATAGAAGGAAAGAGAGCAAGAGGGAAAGGAGAGAGGGAAGAGGGATGTGATATAAAAAGAGAGGATGAAAGAAAGTGAGAAAGAGAGGAAGAGAGGAAGAAAAAGAGAAAGAGAGGAAGAAAAAGAGAAAGAGAGGAAGAAAAAGAGAGAGAGAAAGAAAAAGAAAGAGGGAAGAAAGAGAGAAGAGAAAGAGAAGAAAGAAAGAAAGAAAGAAAGAAAGAAAGAAAGAAAGAAAGAAAGAAAGAAAGAGAAAATTTAACAAAAAAAAAAAGAAAAAAAGAAAAAAAAAAAGAAAGTGAAAGGAAGGAAGGAAGCCTAAATTTTTATTTATTTCCAATAAGCCAACCCCAAAATCCACCCGTGACGTAGCTTCCCCGCCGGCAGGAGAGGGTCTGCCGGGCAGCAGCGGGGGGCTCGGGGCAGCGCGGAGCCCCCGGCCCCGGGGCAGCCCCGGGCGCGGCGCTGGGGCCGGGGCTCGGCGGGGACACTCACCGTGGTGCGCCGTGGGGTACCGCTGCACCGTGGCTCTCACGGAGTTGCCGTAGTACGGCGGGACGGGGTTGCCTTGTCCGTCGATATTAAAAAGTACATCCACTTCCTCGGCGAGAGGATACTGCGTGGGGTCCATGTAGGTATGGCCAAGCGAGGGGTGATGCGAGTCCGGGTGCTGCCCATTGAGCACGGCCGGGTGGTGGTGGCTCACCCACCGCGGCTGGTCCGTGGAGACCTCCATCTTCCGCGCTCGCTGCTGCTCTTCCTCCTCCTCCTCCTCCTCAGCAAGGCGCGGAGGGCTTGAGATGGGAGCGGGAGAGGCTGCCGGAGTTATGCAGCGCAGGGCGGGGAAAAGTGCTCGGCGAGTTTTCTGGTTAGGTTTGGTTTGAAGTGGAGGGAGTAGGGGGGTTTGGTGATAAACGATCGATTCCAAAAAAAGAAAAAAAAAAAAAAAAAAAAAAAAAAAAAGGGGGAAATAATAAAATTAAAAGGGAGGAAAAAAAGGGAAAACAAACAAAAAAAAATCTCGGGGGAAAAATTTCTCTACGAAGCGAGATCCCCTCGTTTCTTCCGCTCTGTTGCAGATGTTTCTCTTCTTTGATCACCTGTAACGAGAAAGAGGAAAGGGAAGGAGCAGAGAGAGAGAGAGAGAGAGAGAGAGAGGCAGGGAGAGAAACACGTACTTGAGAAGTTCTGAACTTTAGCACCTGACTTTTTAGGCAGGAGCAAACCCATCCCATCCCTCGGCAGCCATCCCTGGGAAGCGCCTGCTCTGCCCTGGACCCACCTCTCCCAGCGCCTCTTTCTCTTTCGCTCTCTGCCGGCTCGGAGCGCAGCCCAGCAGCTCCTGCCGCCCAGCTCTTACTTTTCCTTGGGGTTTTTTTGGCTTTTGTCTTTTTTTTCCTTTTTTTTTTTTTTTTTTTTTTTTTTAGTCGTCGCGGTTGTTTGCTTATTTTTTTATTTGTTTCATTTGCACCTGAGAAGCTCCAGTGGCTTAAGCCGGTGAGAACTTGTGCCATTCGCTGCCGCGCAGCCCAGAGTCACTTTGATTGCTCATTAATTATTATGCAACCGAGAAAGGGGGGAACAGGGGGAAAAGAGAAGGGAGGGAAGGGGTAAAGCCATGGGAGAAGAGAGTGGGGGTGAAAGGAAAGGAGCGAGGAAAAAAGGAGGGTGGGGAGAGGGAGGAAAAAGAAAAATTTTAAAAGCGACAAGTTGCTCAAGAAATTCCGCACAAACCTTGGTGGAGAAGCAGAATGTGACCCAGGAGGGATGAAGCTGAAAGTGCTTGATCAGATCAGAGTGTGCTCGCTCGCACTATTTTGTTTTCCCTACTTTTTTTCCTCCTCTCTCTCTCTCCCCCTTATTTTTTTTTTTTTTTTTTTTTTTTACAGGGAAGGCATTCTTTCTGAAAGGAGCAGGATGGCGCCAGCCGGCTCAGTGCTTACAGACAGCTGTGGCGAGACGCAACTTAAGGAGGTTCCAGTGTCATAAGCCCGGGGGAGGCGGAGCCTGAGCCGGGACCGGCCGGGCGCTCCGGCCGCCCCCGCGCTGCCCCCGCGGGAACCCCCCGGCCACGAACTTCTCTTCACGTCCCCTCCACACTCCCTTTTTCTAAATTTATTTTGACATTTTTCTTTTTTTTTTTTCTTTTTTTTTTTTTTTTTTTTTTTTTTTTTAAGGGGGAAATTAAGTTTTCCCGCTGTCCCAGAAACTCAGAGAGTGGCCAGCCCGGAGGGATGGTGATTGGAGGGGATGGGTTGGCTTCTCAGGGGGACACCCGGGGGATGCCAGCGGGCTGGGGACCCCCGGGAGCAGGGATGTGCGGGCAGGTGTAGGACCGGGGGGCTCCCCGCTGGAATAAAGCTGCAGCGGCGCGGCTCAGAAGGGATTAATTATTGTTATATTTAAGGATACAAGCGCACAGCACGGCCACGTTTGTACACTCCATCTGGGGAGGTTTAGGGGGGTATTTTTTCACCCTTCTTGCCCCGCTGGGGACCCGGGTGGGCGGGAGGGGCCGGCACCGACGGGACCCCCGGGCCGCGCCCGGCCCCGCCCCCCCGGCAGCTGGGCCAATAGGCGACCAGCAGGAACTGGGGCGCCGGCCTCGGGCCTCGCTGATTGGTTGCGAACCCGCGCCCCGCCGGCCCCCGGCGGCGCTGATTGGCTGCGGGCCCGCGGGTCGGCGGCCGCGGCGGGCGCTGCGTTGAGCCAGGGCATCCCCTAGCGGCACCCCGGGGTCATCCCGGCGGGAACGGGACCGGGACAGACAGAGGGGACAGCGGGGACAGGGGGATAGGGACAGCGCAGGGGGAAAGGGAGAACCGGGGACAGAGGGTGGGGGGAGAGAGAGAGACAAAAAGCGTGGAGAGGAAGGAAAGACGGGGGGGAAAGGAAGAAGAGAAGAGAAAGAGAGAAAGAGAGAGAGAAATACAGAGAGAGAAGAGAAAGAAAGGGAGAGAGAAGAGAGAGAGAGAGAGAAATACAGAAAGAGAGAGAAGAGAGAGAGAGAGAAGAAAAGAAAGAAAGAAAGAAAGAAAGAAAGAAAGAAAGAAAGAAAGAAAGAAAGAAAGAAAGAAAGAAAGAAAGAAAGAAAGAAAGAAAGAAAGAAAGAAAGAAAGAAAGAAAGAAAGAAAGAAAGAAAGAAAGAAAGAAAGAAAGAAAGAAAGAAAGAAAGAAAGAAAGAAAGATTAAAAAAAAAAGTAAGTGAAAGAAATAAAAGGATAGATAGAATGATGGGGGAGGAGGGGAAAGGATAATATTAAATTGTTTTAAAAGCACTAGAACGAGTCACTCACTGCGTGCCCCGCACGCCGGCCGGAGCGCGCCAGCCCCGGTGCGGGAGGAAGCGGCTCTCGGGGGTTTTACACCGGGGTCTCGCTAAAACCCGAGGTTCCGCAGCTCCGGAGCCGGGCTGGGCTCCACCTGCGGCCGGGAGCCGGGTATGCTCCTCCATGGCCAGAGGAACCGAGCCCCGGTCGGAGGGATGGATGGATGGATGGATGGATGGATGGATGGATGGATGGGATCCTCTAGGACTCCCGTTTTTAGCCCGAGTTTCAGCCCCCGGTGCAGCCCATCGCCGCTGAGCGTGGGGACAGAGGTTTCACACGCGAAAGATGCGCCATGCACACTTATATATATATATTTTTTTGAAACAACACGACCAGGGCTGGTATAAGAGCCCTGAACCATCCACACGGTAGTGTCCCTGCTGCCCAACCAGCGGCGAGGAGCGTGGACGAGCCGGGAAGGGTGGCAGGTCGCCCCATCCCAGAAGTGCCCAGGGAACAGGGCTGGGGGCTCCCCGGGCTGCCCAGCGCCGCCGAGGCCGCCCGGAGCCCGGGGCAGTGGGAAGCGCTCCCTGCAGCCCACCAGGGGAAGGGGGACAGCGGGGGATGCTCATGGCCCTCCCCGAGCCGGGGGCTTTAACCCGCTGCGGGAAAGCTCGTCTTTCCTCTCTCCCCAAAGAGGAGTCGCTTTGCCTGCCGGGGTTTTGTTTCCCCTCCTTTCCGTACTCCAGGAGTTGGGGCGCACTAAAAGGAGGAAACCGAGGGGAGAGCGGCGCGGTCTGTCTGTCTGTCTGTCTGTCCTGACGCACTTTCCGGGATTCCGGAGTGTGGGGGCCGGGGCGCCCCAGCACCAGGGTGGTCTCCTGCCCACCCCTCCTCCCCCGGGAGTGGGGGATTCCTTGGAGAGGAGGAGGACAGTGAAGAGGGGAGCAGCGTCCAGGAGAACAAACTTTCCTCCTCCCGCCATCCCCCTCCCCAGCTTTTAGCAATTTATGGACCTGAGCGGGAAATTTCTCCCCGGGATTTGCCTCTTCATCCCCGCTCCCTAAATTTCCTCACACCCCAAGCACATCCTGCCAGAGAGGGGTTTCCACGCTTTGGAAAAGTCACTTTGTGTCTTTTAACTTTGGGGGGCGGTTTAATGCGAGCTGAGATCTTTGGGCAGGTAAGCTGAGATTCCCACCCCCGCTCCCTGCGGCACTTACAGCCCTGAGACCTACAGCCGTGGGATCACAGGAGGGGAATTTCCATCCAAAGGTCACAAAATTGCTAAACCACTTTAAAACGTGCCTTTAGCCCTGTCCGGAGGTAGTGAAGAAACTGTTTTGCTTCAGCTGTTTGGAGGACAGGGACTTATTAATGCAAAATGAAATGAATAAAATAGAAATAAGTAAAATAAAATAAAATAAAATAATAAATAAACAGCTACACCAAGTCACAACAGTGGCAGGAGGGAAAAGAAATGGGAACAGCTCTGAGGGCTCCGTCCTGCCCCTACAGGGGTGGCACGGCGGGACCCTGCCCCTCGCCTGTCCCTCGCAGCCACAGCCCCGGCAGCGGGAGGAGGACACCCGCTCTCAAATCTAGTTTGCTTAGGCTGTCCCCTTATTTTCAACCCGTCCTCGATAGACTCGATCTTCCTATCCCACTCCCAGCCGGGAGGAAGTGGTGGTGGGGAGTGCAAAAACACCCCCTACCAAAAAAAAAAAAAAAAAAAAAAAAAAAAAAAAAAAAAAAAAAAAAAAAAAAAAAATTAAAAAAAAAAAAAAAAAAAAAAAAAAAAAACCCATTTTAAAGAGCAAACCAGAAAACCCATCATTTTTCCCCGTCTCCTCGGATTATCGTGTGATCCCCGGGGGTTTGAGAGGAGAGAGAAGCGCTGGCCTTGACCGTCCTTTTCCCAGGCTGTGGCTGCAGATCCATCACCTCGCCCCCCCCGGCAGCCCCCAGCAGGGTTTCCAGTGACAGCTCGGCGTTAATAGGAGCCCATTGTTGGAGCAATTAGCCCCAAGCTCGCCACCAGCCGCCAGATAAGGGTCGGGGGCGCGGGGGTTAATTCTGCCGGGGGGGAGGGGGCTGCGGGGAGCGGGGCTCCAGCATCCCCCCGTGCTAGGGGAGGGATGGGAGGAATGGGGATAACTCTGCCTCTAAAAGGGCACGAGGAAACGCTTTGGACACTTTATTTGTCACCTAGAGACCCAAAAAGAGGGAAATTCAAGGAAAAAAAAATATAAAATCAACAACAACAAAACCCCAAACTTGGTGGGATGGGGTGGGATGACCGGTGAAAGGGCACTAAAGCTGTCACCCCTCTTTTGTTTTTTTGGGTTTTTTTAAATTTCCCTCGGGTCTTCCTGTTAAAGCAGGCTCAGGCAAGGCTGCTCTGGAGCCGGGAGCCGGGGCCAGCCGCTCCTTGGTGCCCACGGCCGGCACTGGCACCTCGGGGCGGGGACAGGAGCCTCCCCCTGCTCCCCCTCTCCTTTAGCCCCCTTTTAAACCACAATTGACTGAAAGGGGATTAAGTTACGTTTGTCGGGCTGGGCTTTTTTTTTTTTTTTTTTTTCTTTCCAGGGTACCAGAATAGTACAGGTAAAGCTGTACAAACAGCCGGGAGCGAGGAATCGGGGGGTTATGGAGAGGACACGGCCCAGGGCAGAGCTCCGAAGATTATTATTAATTTTTTTTTTGGGTTTTTTTTGTTTTTTTTTCCTGTGTACAGCAGCTTGCTCTCTTGCCGAGGAAGAGAGACCCGGGATTGTGAGTCCGCTGCCACCTCCCCAGCTGGGGCAGCCCCTCCCGGGGCACGGAGCCTGCCAGTGCCCGGGACGGCCCCGCCGGGAGGGTACGGGACCCTGCTCAGGCTGCTGAGATAATCTCGGGTTAAACAAAGGAGCAGAGAAGAGGGAATATTTTGTTTTCCTATTTTTTTTTCCCCTCCTTTCGTGAATTAGGCAGGAATTACGATCCACTTCCCCAAGGCCATCCCTTCTTTATCGTTTAAACGGTAAGCAGCGTCCGTCCAGCTAGGAGCAGCAAATTATTATTAACATTGATAATAAAAATAATAATAATAGTCAAAGAGAAAGAGAGACTGGCATGTCTGCCTCTCCCCTTTCCCATCCCACATGAGTCTTCCCTTCCGCTTCGAAACCAGCCACATGGGTGGTTGTTTTTTTGTTTTGTGGGTTTTTTTTTTTTATCTCTCTCGCTCTTTCTATTTTTTAAAAAATATACATACGTATTTCCGTTCTTTTCTAATAATTCAGTTATCTCCCCTTCGTGAAGATCGGGAGGAAACATAAACACGCACACAAAGAAGTGCCGAGCCATGCAAATTCAGAGAGAGAACAAATCATCGGCTGATTACACCGGGTCCAATTTTTTCTCCCTCCGTGCACCACCACCCACCACAGACACACACACACTTTTTTTTTTTTTTTTTTTTTTTTCCGGCGCAAATGATGCTATTTGATGGAGGGGTGGGAAGAGACGGGGGAAAACCCTGCTCTGCCGTAGAAAAGAAATTCGAAGAATTAAAATTGGGAGGAGAGAAACTGGCACTTTTCTTTTCCCTCCTCCCCCCCCTTCTTTGAAGCTGAGAGAAGGGCGACTGCCCCAGGACACTGCAGGAGTAAAAAAAAAAAAAAGGGTCTGAGAAAGATCAAAAACCGGCTCCGCAAGTCCCAGGGGCGACCTCTCCCCCCGACACATTCCCCAAAGTGCGCGGAGAGGAGCCGGGCAGAGGGGACAAGGGGAGGGGGACTCGTGTCACCCCCGCTGCCCGT